GAGGAGAGGAGATGGATCTGATGTGATTGATCTTTGATGATGATGATGATGATGATGGTGGTGGTGGTGGTGATGATGAGAGTTGACTTTGTGGTGATTAGCTATGCGACAATCTCGATTGTAGATCGGAGAGGGGCATACTACGTATTTCACTGCGTTCCCCCCCCGGCCTAATGTGGCTTCGAAAAAAGCATTTGGCCAATCCCTTTCAGCGGGACGGTGAATACCATACACATGCAACCCGAGTCGTGAATCACCAGTACACGTGCTTTTTAAAACCCACCCACCCTCCTCCTGGCCCCCATAGCGGCGCCACCCGGTTTCTTGACCACGCCATTCGAACCCATTCTCTTGACCACCACGGCCCTGTTTCCCTTGCCCAGCGCAGGCATCTTCTTGCCCCCGAGCAGGAGCGCCGCCCTCTCGTCGTCGGCGCGTTTCCTCTCCTCCTCCTCGACGCGATCCGCCTGCATCTGGGACTCGATCTCCATCTTGCGGTTGAACTCCATCTCGGTGATGCGTCGGTCGCGGTGCGAGTAGGTTTTGGATCGGAGCGAGTAGAAGACGGCGCCCATATCTGCGAGCCACTGTTCCTCCGGATAGAAGATAGAGGGAGTCAGTGATGGCTGGGGGGGGGGAAGGCAACTTACGTGCGGATCCACGCTCGTGACCGTAGACATGTACTCGCGGCTGGTCAGGACGAGTTCGTGATAGACCACGTACTCCGGCAGCACGCCGGCGCCGTACAGGGCACTGGTCGGATGCAGCTGCACCGTCACCGCCGTGCGGAGATTGACATACTCGCCCATGCCCTTCACCCGGGCCGCCTGGTGATAGTAGCCGCTACAGATGCACTTCCTCACAACATCCCAGTCCGTGCCGCAGCTCACCAGCTCCATTTTCTGCAGCACCATGATGTCGTGCAGCTGCTCGCGGATCTCCTTGGCGCGACGCAGGGATTTGGCGTGCAAGAAATGCCGCACGCACCAGGCGTCGGAGTAGCCGTTGCTGCGCCATTGCGTGTACACGTGCAGCAAGGTGAGGTGGTCGGATTCCGGGACGAAGAATTTCTCGCGCGCGGCATCGCTCTCCTCCACGCGTTCTTTGGGCCGGTAGAAGACGGAGGGGACGGAGAGCATGGAGACGATCGTGAGCATTTCTTCGGAACACGCGAACTCGGAGCCTGCGGGGCCGGAGGAGGTGATGAGGAGTTTGGCGAGAGACGGGTCCATGGGGAAGGCGGTCATGCGTCGGCCTAGCGGGGTGAGGTCGCCGAGGTTGGAGAGCGCGCCTAGGGCCCAGAGGTCGAATAGCGAGGTTGTGATGGTGTCTTGGGGGGGAGGGTCCATGAAGGAGAAGTCGAGGAGGTCGCGCACACCGAGGGACTTGAGGAGCAGGACTGTGTTGGAGAGGTTTGTGCGTTGGATCTCGGGAATGGTTTGGATGTAGAATTCGTTCTTGAAGGCTTGCTCTGTATAAAGGTGGTAGGCTTTTCCGGGGCCGGTGCGGCCTGCCCGGCCGGCTCTTTGCGAGGCGTTGGCTTGAGAGATTGGCGTGATCTGGAGGGTGTCCATGCCCATACGGGGGTTGTATACCTTCAGCTTGGAGAAGCCGGCGTCGACGACATACATGATACCATCCACCGTGAGCGATGTTTCGGCAATGTTGGTGGCAACGATGACTTTGCGGACACCAGGAGGAGCCTTGTCAAAGATCTTTGCCTGCAGGTCGGCAGGCATCTGGCTGTAAATGGGAAGGATGAGGAGTTTCGGTGGATCATTGAGGAGTCGAAGGCGCTCTTCTACTAGCTCACAGGTGACTTCGATGTCTTCTTGTCCTGTCATGAAGACCAGAATATCCCCAGCCGGTTGCGACACATGAATTGCCAGCACTTGCTTGACAGCGCTGTCCACATAATCTTCGCACGGTGAGCGTGAGTATTGGATGTCAACGGGAAATGTACGACCGGGAATGATGAATTCCGGAGCTCCGCCATAGAATCGAGAAAAGCGATCCGAGTTCATCGTGGCAGACGTAACAATCAACTTGAGGTCTCTGCGGCGAGCAAGCACTTTCTTGATAAGACCCATGAGGACATCTGTATTCAGAGCACGTTCATGCGCTTCATCCATGATGATACACGAGTATCTGTCTAGGTCCTGTTGTACAAGAGATTCCCTCAAAAGCACACCATCTGTCATATCTGCAAATGGTCAGTAGATGGAGATGTGCAGACTGAGCATGTTCAACACTTACACTTGATAGCTGTTCTGTCGCTCGTGCAATCCTCAAACCTGATAGCATAGCCAACTACGCCTCCCAGCTCCACCTCCATTTCCTCGCTCACTCTCTTGGCAACACTCATGGCAGCAACCCTTCGTGGTTGTGTACATCCAATCATGCCGAACTTCGAATACCCTTCTTCATAAAGGAATTGGGTAAGCTGAGTGGTCTTCCCCGATCCGGTCTGACCTACGACAATCACCACTTGATTGTCCCTAATGACGCGCATGAGTTCTTCTCTCACAGCGAAAGCTGGTAGATACTCCCTTTGCTCTCGTAGGGTCTTGCTTTTGCTGAAGTCGCTTGCCCCTGCATTCTTCTTGAGATGCTCGGCAAATTTGCTGCCTCCTTTGCGCGACTCTTCTCCTGGAGCTGCGGCAGCACTGTCGCCCTCATCTTCTTTCACGCCCATCAAGTTACCGAGAGCTGTTCCAGCCATGTTCGTAGCCTGCTGAGCCTGCTTCTGGCGTTCCTTTTGTTGTCTCTTCTCCTTGACTACCTTGCTGCCTTTGCGACTGAACACTGCCATGTCACTTTGAGGGTCCAGAACCGCTGGTACTGGTTCGAGCTGTTTGGTGAAGATCGTCCTGCCATCTAAAAATGGTGGTTTCAAGTCATGTACCAGCAGATGTATCCTTGTTCCATCGTCATCGTCCTCGAAGTCCACCGCATGATCTCGTCGCTGGGCCACGCCGGAGGTCAGCATTCGATTCGTTTCCCAGGCGTCCACATCTTTTTGCTTCTGGGCTGCTTTTGCTGTCACCCGCTTGTTGAGTTTTTTGTCTGCCAGAGCAGCCTCTTTCTGCTGATCCGCCCATGTGTTATCTGCGCTCCCAAAAGGGTTGTGGGTCTCGTCCCCAAAAGTGTGACCAAACTCGTCCCCGGCATACCAGTCTCTGTCCAGAGCATTGGTTTCCTCGTCCGCGATATATGGTTCAGCTCCATCAGGTTCGGTTTGATGGGGCGTAGAAGCATTGCGATTCCCACGAGGCGTAGACGACCGTGAGTGACCACTTGAACCCGTGTCTCGAAATCTTTGGTGCTTAGAAAATATGGGTGGCTTCAGAGAGGGTTGTAATCCGTCCGATATTGGCGGAGTGGAATATCTATCGACGTCGAGCTTTCGACGTTTCGGGCTGTCTCCGCGATCCATGGTTCTCCATAGAATCGAAATCGACTGCAGGTTCCGCAACCCCTAGCATAATCCTAGAAAAGTCCTAGGATATTTCTTCTGAAGATGGTTCATAAGTAGATCTTCACAAAGGCCCCGGTTAAATTGGATGACTAAGCTGGACTTTCTACTTAACACTGGTGCGTAGTACGACAACTCTTATGCTTCAATTCTATGTCCATGTTAAATGAGAGCAGGGTTACATATATGATCGTCAACTCGCTTCTCCCTCAGTCAGTACCTTCTTTGCACGTGCCGGGCTCTATCAGCCAAGATTACTCGAGATGGCGTCAAAGCAAGTCAGTGTTCAGAAACAACAAGGTCGAGCATCTCAACTGGTTATCGGACATGTAGCTGAAACGATGATTTGCAGAGCTTCAAAACCAGTACACGAACTACAAGAATACACTGCAATCTCTTGCTCAGAAAGCCGGCGACATCGAGCAGGAGATTGAAGAACACAAGTAGGTTCCTTTTCGTAACGTGTTATTGCGATAGTTTAGGAACTCGGTGTTCTAGAGCATTTGTTTGCTACAATCATACTTAGACTCTGACAGGAATCGTTCTTTAGACTCGTCGTCGAAACCTTACAGCCGCTTCCAGACGATCGAAAATGCTTTCGTATGATCAATGGAGTGCTCGTAGAAAGAACTGTGAAAGACGTCTTACCAACCTTGAAGACAAATTCAGACGGATTGAAACAGGTTCTTGATAAGCTGCTGATGGAATATAAGAGCAAGCAGGACGAAATGGACAGTTGGAAGGTATGCACAGGCCCCAAACTACCTCTTTGTCAGATACATAAGATATCCATAACACATTGATTGCTAACCTCAGTGGACTTCTTTTAGAAGAAAAACAATGTACAGGTCGTGCAAAACCAATAATCATCACTTGATTACCTTGCAAGTCTTAGTACAGTATTTATAGGTGTTGGAGAGGTGTTGCTGCCGCGTTGTCCTGTGTTTGACTTCCGGCACAGTCATAGCCAGGCGCATGCGATGCACCAAGCAAAGTGCCAACTTAGCCCATATCACTGTGGAGAGCTTCAGCACTTGTGAACGAGAATGAATGGCATAGATTGCCTTAGCTGACCGAGCATGGGTGCCAACGGACAAACAGAAGCTGGGCTTATCGGTCAGACTTGTTGCAGATATCCCAGCTTTTTCACAGCCAGTGATTTTCATGAACCGGTGATTGCCTTGCACCTTTCACCTTTAGGGCTGAGGATGTCCTGCACCAGCAATAGAGACCACGATTTACACCAAGACCACAGTGGGATTGGGCAACTTGGTGGGAGCCAGCCAACCCGGCTGTGTCAACGGCATATTGTGCCAGGAGGGCGGAAGAGAGGGTACAGCCTTTTAATCAAAGCTTCCTGTCAGCATTCGATATACTTCAAGCTGAATTGCTGATAGTGCTGCGAAGATGGGGTCATTTGCTCCGAGAACTGTTGCCTAAGCTGCGCTGCATGCATGTGATAGCTCGAATCTCATGTCGTGGAGTTTTTTGGCCATTTCAATCCCTCATAACTCTAAGTCCATGTATCCTCGAGGTTCACTAGTGTACGTGGTATTACCAGCATTAGGGACCCTGGTCTTGACCACTTTCTAATTAGAAAGGGCTTAGCGGACACAAGTGAGTGACTTGCAACATTGATAGCACCGCTGCTCATGAACCCGCTGCTCGAGGGACGAATTCTGGGAGGAGACATGGGTAAGCGACTACTTTGGTCCAACAGTTGATCGGGCTGAGAAGCTCAGCATCAAGGATTTCATGCCGATATGGTCTAGGGGCAACAACGCTTCCATCGAATGTTTGATTTCCCTTCTGATAAGGGGTTTGGCATGGCAGCGATGCAGTGCATTTTGCACAAGCAAAAGCACATATTACGGAGCTCAAAACTCCTCTGGTGGTATTGCCAAAAAATGCACATCATCCCACTTCTGGTGCCGTCCGGGACACCTTTTGCTAAACACTCTATAGCTCGAATTCGGCCTGACCTAGTTAAGCCGTGTCGACGAGGATCAGCTAGCAAGATTGATCAATTTTTCTGGGCTTGTAGGTGAAGCAATAAGTCGGGCTCAGATCATTCTTGCCAGCCATGCTCTTTCCCGCCTAGCCGCCTCAAATGCACTTAGCAAGGCGGCGAGATTGCAAGGGAATGGTCCAAAGTGGCCTGAATGCTTTTTGTTTCAGATGTATTCAGTGGGGGTGATGGTGTGTTTAAATACGCATATGTGCCCAACTTTACGTAGGTGTTACATTGTCTATCATGTCAGCCCAGAGACCATCCGGATCCTCTCCATCTGCTATGCCCGCTCAATTAAGGTTTCTTATAAGACAAGGTGAACCCATTCAAGTAATCTCATGTTTCGAAGCCTTGTCAGACGTCAAACCCAAAAGTGGTCAAGTGCTATCATCTTCATATTGTCAAATTGCATGTGGTTTGCTGCATTTGAAGGGGGCCGACTAACGCGAAGGATATGTGCAGTGGCCACCATGCGGGTCGGAGGGCGATCTAACGCCACACTGTCGCCTTGTTGGACAACCCAATTGGATGCGGTTTTGGCGCGCTGAAAATGGGTCATTGGCCGAGAATTGCTCAATCTGTTCGCATCACCCAATGGCCAGATGGGTTGGGCAAGATCAGGAACGCTTTATCTGGACCAGGTTTCTGAATGGCCAGCACAACGTCGAGTGTCTTCATGTAGCAACTCTTGGGCTGCTTAGGAAGCACGATCTTATCTGAAAGATTTCAGACACTCGTGCTGAACAAAGCAACACCGCATCAAAAACATTGCACAGTCATGCGCTTCTGGCGAAGCGGTGGGCTCACCGCGATTTCAGCTGAACACATTCCACGTATTCGCGTACTCTTGCGGCTCAGTAGTTAGAGCTAAAAGACCCGCGGGCTCCAGCACCAAGAAGATGACTGGCATGATGATGACGAGGGAGCGAGCTCAAGCGGATAGACTGTACTATCTGGCAAGCGGGCAAGCGAGACGGTAAATGTAGATGATTCGATTAGGATATCAGATAATGCGGGATCCTGCATACTGCTCAAGCCTCATCCTTGCCGTTTGTCTTGAAGATAGCATGACTCGTCCATCATCTGGATACTGCGTAATGTCAGCAGAATATCGCCGTTAGACACTCCTCGGAAATGGGTCGCACGGAGCCAGCAAGATCGCTGCAAGCATTTCGATCTTCTACGGTATCAATAATGCTTGCAGTAGAAGGTTTGGTTGACCAAGGGTTCCAAAATTGATGCTGCAGAAAGATATGAGAGTGCCGTGGAGTAGCCTCATTCCACCCCAAGCCCCCGCAATGACGACTCCAAGGCAGAGCTGAAGTTAATCTCTCGCTGACCTTGGGCACTGGTATTCCTCGGTAGGTGCTGTCTCTCTCTATGCCAACTTGATGTGCCCAATGCTGGAGCTCAAAGGCGTCTCTTGTCGCGCTCAATTCTGCTCCGGACGCCAAACACCTAAACCTTGTTGGAGAAGCTCGTGCTAGCTTCACAGAGCTTCCAGGTGGCTTTGCTGCCCAACTTGCCCTTTTCGAGTCCGATTGCAACGCCGTCTTGATACTTGCAGCAATAGGCGCATGCCTCGACTGAGTCTTCTACAATCCCTTCCAATCGATCCATTTCATTTTAAGCTTACTCGCCTTGTTCCGGCGCCCGCTGCCACAATCCTCGTTGAGCCTTGCAGGCCCATTCTCCTCCGATTCCCAGTAAATAGCGGACAAACGCGCCTTGCGAAACTTCCGATTGGTGAAACCATCAGCGACCACCCGCCTTACCAGAAGTAATATCCCAGGATATCGGTCCGGTGGTGAAGCGAGAGATCTATACTTTGGCGGGCTCTGAAGTGACGCAGAAGGTGGAGTTGACCTTGCGAATCGACGCTTGACGCAAGTTGACGTGGTCACGGCGAGGCCAATTGGGTCGTACGATTTGGTGTAAAGCCAGTACCCGACGCCGGTATCCAGAACCTACATCATGTCGGACTCCCCTCCAAAGAATGAGCAGGAGACAGAGCAAGGTGCACAATCAGGCGAGGAGCCGGATCAGATGGACAGAGAACAAGAAGGAGCTCAGCAAGGTCTCGGCGATTTCGAGGTCAAAGAACAGGATCGATGGCTTCCCATCGCAAATGGTTGGTTCTGTTTCATTCTCCACTTCCGGTTTGGGTGGTATTTGTATTTGATTTGCGCATCCCTTGCGTGACTCTACTGCGAGTTTGCGCAATGACTATGGCATTGTGCGAACCAGAAGGCCGTGCACTTCAGGATGCTATCTATGCAATACCTCTCATTCGTCGCACCCCCTTCCCTCTCCACGCATGATTCGCATCCCAGCTCTCCTGTCGTTGGCCAAAAAGTTCCTCTGCGACTAGCATTGATCATGTCTTCTGATTACTCTCCACCATCGTCTTCTGGCCAAAATGCATCTCGAGACAGTTGCTATGGTGCTGCGGCCTCTGATGCTAACATCCGAAACTTTGCGCCAGTGGCTCGCATCATGAAGACGGCTCTCCCAGAGAACGCCAAGATAGCCAAAGAAGCCAAAGAATGCATGCAAGAATGCGTCAGCGAGTTCATCTCATTCATCACCAGCGAGGGTATGTCAATGCATCTTCTGAAAATCATTAGACAACTACTTACGAAAGTGCTGCTGTCCAGCGTCGGAAAAATGCCAGCAGGAAAAGCGCAAGACGGTGAACGGCGAAGACATCCTTTTTGCGATGACGTCGTTAGGCTTCGAGAACTACGCCGAAGCATTGAAAATCTATCTTGCAAAATATCGCGAAGTGAGTTCCGTCTGACCACCCATCCTCCCACATCTCTTTTGTCACTTGGACAACAAAACAACATTCTGAACAACGAACTGATTGGGATGAGACCCAATCCGCAAGGGGGGAGAACCAGAACAGACCTACCAGCAGCGGCGCCGGGGGCGGATACGCAGCAGGGGGCCCTGTCGGCGGCGCCCCTGGCAACTCCGCAGCAACCCAACCCTCAGTCTTCAGTGCTGGGCAACCCGAGACAGCTGGGACCATATTGAGCCCGACACATGGTCTGGATACATCCGAGCACGACGCCACAGGGCCATACGTCTACCCCGGAATGGTCTCGACGGGCCACAACGGTACCGGTGCCGAGTCGTATTAGAGACGAGGCGGAGCGTAGGTGGTAAGGCAGGCACGGGTCATCATGACAACAGCATACGATACCTACCGAAACCGCGAGCTAGGCCGGAAGAATGGTTGGAGGAAGGAATACACAAGTGGAAAATGACGCGAAGTAGGTTGCAACAGCGGAGGGAATTTTCATTTTCTGCATGGGTAGATGTGATGGGACCTGGTTGTCTCAGCACCAATATTTCTTCCAGACACATGGTTGGTTGATCAAGGCTAGACGTGGTGGTATGCTTTGGCAAGAAACAAGGAATAACGGGGACGGTCCTCTCTTCGATCTGTATATTATATCGAGGCGAACCACGATGGTAATCACTCAAACAGCGTTGCGTCCATCCAGATCAAGTTCTTTGAAATCTTTCTTTTTCTCACTCTGATGTTCCGCATTGGGGTTGGGTGCCAGATGTGCGATCCCAAATCTGTGTTCGCGACCTACTACGGTACGAGGCCGAATTTTTGTATTCCCCCCAAATCCAAATTTCTTACAAAACGCTCTCTTTACATACATATCCTTGGCAGTATCCCTGTCGCTACTTATTCTACCACATATTCTGACGAACCCAGCAAGATCTGTAAACTCTTCTCATTCTGCTCATTCTATTCAATCTGCTCATCTCTATATCAGATTCGCTACATAGGATGCTGTACCTACTAGTTATCTTGGTGATGTGCTTGAGTCGATATCAACGAGTGGTCAAACACCAATGAAATGCAGATCAGACTTGAAATTAGTCCTAATTGGGCATGACGTGGAAGTCTATACCTAGGTCTGCATAGTATGTTACTTACAAGTACTAGCCTTTTCACAATGGAGCGGTACAAAATTCGGCCTGATACCGTAGTACTGCTATCCATCACCCTGTCGCAAATTTTGCGTGTTTTCTATTTGGGTACTACAAACACGATCAAAACCTAGTGGTCATTATTGGACCATCAAAGCGCAGCTCACTCTGTTAGATGAATCATAATGTCTCATCGGAACTTTAAAGAAAAGATTACAACATTTTAAGCCTAATGTGATTTAGTATACACTTCAATCGACTTAAGGTCTCATCTAACGTCTGTCATTTGTTCAGACCAATTAAGGTGCGCCTGTGGCTCGGTCATAGTGACCAATTAGAAAACATGCGAAGTTTACGACAGAATGGTGGATTGATGAAGTGGATGAATGAGATTCTATCTGTCTCTCTGCAGAATCTATCTAAGGAGGAGCAGGCTAATCTACTACTAGTACTTAGGGACACAGACAGGTCACGTGCGCCAAGGATTTGGCTGTACGCATACGGCCAATTGCAACATGGATAGCACAGTACTACACTCTTGACAAAGCACTTTGATCACCCCTTTTTCACGTAGTCAACAGCACAAGCTTTCGTCAAGTCATATGCTACGTTCGAGTGATAGTCGATCTGCTACTCAAAGTTAGGATCAATGATAAGACTGGGCTCTTCTTGGCAGTTGAAGGAACAGGGATAGGTAAGAGGAATGATTCCGCTGATAACCTTCTACATCCGGCCAGGCCCGATGTTCAACATTCTTATTATGAATCACAACCCATTGGTTCTGGCTTCCTCAGGTATGGCGCTGTTCCTTCGGCGCATGTGACTCATCTAGCTGTAGTGTTGCGTCCATTCCCATGATTAGGGTCAGGATTTCAATCTACCTGAGGTGCGATTTCTTGTTTCCTAGGTCAATCTTATGTCCTCTCTGCATGTCAATGTTTTTGTGAGCCTGTCAATCAATAGGACCATCTAGCATTATATCACGCATTTCAGACGTTTCCACTAGCTGCTTGAGGAACACCGTCGACTCCGATATAGCTTATCATGCCACCCCAACCTGCTGCCATTGATATCAGTGTTGAGAGCGTGACGGATACCACTTCGGTAGTCCTCCCTGACCCAATTGAGACGGTAGTGAATGGCGATGGCCACCTACCCTTTGCCATCAAGGATGTTCATGGTCACCGTTCAAGAAGCGGGCCTATGCCGTCCGGTGTCGCGCCGTATGCGAGTGCTGATATGTTCAAAAGTCCTGCATCTTTTGGGAAGCCTAAAGCAAAGAGATGGGATCATTGGATCAGCCAGGAAAGCTCCTCTAGGACAGGATCAAGCATAAAGAAATCTGCAAAGTACCTGAAGAAGCCAGGCCTGATCACACTTGGAGGCGGATTGCCGAGTTGCGATTACTTCCCATTCGAACGTATTGACGTCAAGGTTCCAGTGGCACCTCATTTTTCTGAACCGGAGACTTTGGAAAGTGGCATCGTTCGTACTGCCGGCAAGCATGATATCCGAAACGGCAAGTCACTCTATGACTTGGAAGTCTGTTTGAATTATGGCCAAGCCACCGGGTCAGCCCAGCTCATCCGATTTGTCACGGAGCATACCGAGATTGTACATAAGCCCCCATATGCCGATTGGTGGTGCATTCTCACAGCAGGGAACGTTTCAGCCCTGGAGATGTGCTTACGCATGCTTTGTACTCGAGGTGACTATCTCCTTACAGAGGAGTATGCTTTTGCCACCACGCTCGAGGCAGCGGCGCCATTAGGGCTGAGAACCTTGGGTATAAGAATGGATAAGGAAGGTATGCTGGCGGATGACCTTGACCACGTCCTTACTGGTTGGGACGAGCTTGAACGAGGCAGACCCAAGCCTCTCGTTCTCTATACCGTACCTACTGGCCAAAACCCGACCGGGGCCACCCAGTCGTACGAACGTCGTCAAGCAATATATGCCATAGCTGAGAAGCACGATCTTTGCATAGTCGAGGACGAGCCTTACTACTTCCTTCAAATGGAGGACTATGCTCCGGGTCGTATACACTCCACTGCCGAAACGGAGAGAGTTCCACATGACGAATATCTTAACACACTGATCCCCTCATACCTCTCTATGGACACTTCTGGCCGAGTCATCCGTCTTGACTCTTTCAGCAAGATCATCGCCCCCGGCGCACGCGCTGGTTGGATCACTGGAGCGGAGCAGCTCATCGAGAGATTCGCCCGGCATGCAGAAGTCAGCACCCAGACACCTAGCGGCATATCTCAGATCATTCTCTACAAACTCCTCGAAGAGACGTGGGGCCATGACGGATTCCTAGAATGGCTCATGTATATCCGGTCCGAATACACCAGACGTCGAGACACCATAGTGGCAGCATGCGAAAGCCACCTGCCGCGAGAGATTGCGAGCTGGAATCCGCCTATGGCAGGTATGTTTCATTGGATCAATATCAAATGGCACAAACATCCGAAGTTCAACAAGGATCCATCAACAACGAACCTCAAAGAGGTCGAGGAATCGATCTTTCAGGCTGCAATAGGGAAGGGCGTACTATGCTCGCTAGGTAGCTGGTTCAGGGCGCAGAAGGATACTGATACCGAAATCTTCCTTCGTGTTACCTTTGCAGCCGCTCCGTTAGACAGAATAGAGGAAGCAATCTCTCGATTAGGAGAAGCGCTGAGAGAAGAATTCCAAAACGGCGAAGCCAATGGAATCGAGCAGGGAGCAAATGGCCATGGTTCATGAAGATCTTATCCGGGACGTCTTGGTTCAAAGTGATGACCTGGAGTTTGAATGGTACATGGCGGGCTTGATGACTGCTGAGTGGCATCAACTCATAGGGATGCACTCTAGCTGAAGTTAGGTATGGACAAGGATGGGTCCGGTTAGCTAATATATTTTCACATACATGTTTTCTGTGGTGATATTACCTTCTCTCTATGCCTGCATGCACATCATTCCAGTGCCCACTGCAAAATGTATTACCACTATCTGAGGCATTGACATTACCACAGCAGCCTCACCAGAAGCACCATTCGCGGCATTTACAGGACCCAGTTGATTCATTCATTCTCCTCTCCTCCGCTGACTTCCTTCTGTTCCCAACTCCCATCCATATACCTCCCTTTGTCCTACCATCTGCATTGGTAGCAACACCCATGCAAGATACCTGAACTGTCCAGCAACAGCATCAGCATCAGAAGCACGAACGTCGCCGCCTCGCCGATCCGGTGGGTCCACTCTCTTTACCTCCCTCGCTGTCTTGCTTCTTTTGCCCCAACCCAGACCACTACACTTACCTTCAACCACACCATCCATTGGGCAGCGACTCGCACACAAGATTATACTACCCAACCTGGCCGTAGATCCATCATTTGAGCTTACCGCCTGGCTCTTCGATCGGACCAGCTTTCATGAACTTGGCCAATGATCTCTGTACCATCAGTCAATGGCTCCCAATAGACTTCTGCTTCGCATGTAGACTTCATCCTCGCTAGTCTGCGTAGATTGGTAAATGAATTCGTAATAGGGGTCAAGGGATTGGCTTGCTTTGAGGACGCTGCATGTCCATCTCTCTAGATGAGCCAAGCTCCTCTGTGGCTGATTACCGAAAAAGATATGCAACTGACCAGACATTGTCGGATCATCATCGGACCGCCGCCAAGATTGTGGAAGCACAACCTTACGATATCAGGGAAAGCGTACCAGCGCCTCTTTCAATCTTGGGAGATCGCTGATCGTCTTCAGCCCAGAACTTATACTTCCATTGGCCTCATCCAGAATCTGCCCTTGGGGATGCCGTCCTGCCATCCTGCCATTGGTGTTGTCTCCAGCGGCACATCTGAATAACACCACCAGCGCTCTGATGTTGCCTTTATATCCTCAGGCAGACCTCCGGAAACCATTCCCAGCTCCATTGCGAGAAGTGTTGACAAGCCCGGGACATAAAGAGTGGCTGCGTGCCACTTGGTGTCATCAGGTATGTCTGCTGTCCCGTGTTTGGCCAAGGCATAGTTCTGGATTATTGGAATGTGCTCAATGGCATCAAGATCGTGAGCATGCCAGATAGTGTGTTGCAGCTTTGGAATGCATCATGGATGAAGTTGGAGAGACCGACATCGTTAAGGTCTTTTGTTGAACAATACTGCATGCGGATGGCCAGACGGACCAAATGAAGTTTTTGAAACCCACTGACGTATGCTGTTTCAGCAGTAGCAATATTGTATAGGACAGTTGAAGCTCCCACGGTCCGGCCAAGATCAACAAAGGTTCCCGTTCTAAGGAAGATCACCTGGTTGGAGCATAGTCTCATGAGCCTGACAACGACCAAGATACAGGGCTGTATCTTGATGCTTGGTGAAAATGCTAGCATTGTACTGGCAATTTGACTGTAGCGAAGTCGGGTTTGGTGAATAACAGATTTCGATGACGGCAGACTCCGTCAGATTGGGGAAATATCGGCCGCAGCAGCAAAAGCCGGTGATAGCCACTTCATGGCTGATTTGACTTCCACAAAATACCAACCCCCTACCATCGGGAACACTTTCGCAGTCAACTTTTGGGCCAATTCCATCATCCTTGGGTCCACACAGAGGCAAAGTTGAGAATTGCTGAAGACTGTGCTACGTGTGAGCAGAGCTTGCAAAGAGCTTGCAAAGAGCTATCCCTTTGACTACATCCTGTGTATCTGTCAACTGGTACATGGTATTCAAAAGTCAGACTCACATTGTGTTATCTTGCTGAGGCCAGCTTTGAGAGGGTGAAGTTGCTAAGTAAGTCTCTTTCTTATTCTCAAATTACAATGCAGAACATATGTTGTACGGACGTCAAGCCCTATTCCCACTTTCGCACCGTAAGAGAACACCGCAATGTAGCCCATTCACCACAATACCGCTCAGTGTTAGGCATCTACCGCCCTTTTAAGAAATAAGCTCCCTCACCTCATGTTCTGTGACCATTTCTCCTTGATTGTGCACAACAACACCACAACTCCATACCATCCCCTATATCCTTCTAATATGGAGCCAACAAAGCACCAGAACGTCGCTGGCTCTTCCAGGTCTGACCGCTGTGCACCGCTTCCCATCTCTGAAGCACCAAATGCTGACCGATCTCTCCCTCCAGATCTGAGCCACCCGCACCGATCTTCACCTCCACAGCTGCCAGCAGCAAGCCTGAATCAAGAGACGATCAGCACTACTATCCACCATCGAACCGTGAAGTCCCGTCATCTGAAGCACCAAGTGGTGAAGCTGAGAGGGACCATCATCGATCCATCACAGAATTTGTAGCGAGCGGAACAGTCGCACCTACCCATTTTGGTACCAGAAGAAGGCGCCTACTTCATCCAGCGTCACATCCTGCTCTAGCTCCATCATCAGTAAGTCTGGTTGGTTATTTTGTGTCGATGACTTACTGAAAACTTGAAGGATAATTTCCCGTTATCAAGCTCTCACCTTGCCAGAGAGGAAACCCCCGTTTCTTTTGCAGTACACCGTCCTGGGCCTCGCCGCACCCCCATCGAACGACGTGTCCGCAGACAAGGCCTTGAGCAGCCACATCAACTTGAGCTTCCTCGATCGAGTTTTGAGAGTCATCGCTCTGCTGGCCGCTTTGCCGCCGACGTAGGAAGTCACCCTGAAGAACGTCGTTCACAGGATCAAGTTCGAAATCTCAACCAAGAACAAAGTGTCCCCGATCTTGTAAGGTCGGCATCTCCTGGATCTAGAGTCGGAGCGAGATCTCTATCAGTCGGCCTCACACTTCCCACCGAGCTAGAGCTTCTTGTCGCGTCTGAGAACTCACAACCTCCACCACCAATTCCGCCAAGAGCCGCTTCTCGACCGAATCCATATCCATCTTCCACACCAGCAGTTCCTCCTCGTTCACTTGTTCGAAGGAGAGCAGTTTCGTACAGGAGTAACCCTCCAGGAATTGCATCTGCATCAAGACAAGGAGCGCATAGAGTCATAACTACGCCAGTACGGCCGCTTGAAAGCCTTCCAGAATCTCCACAGAGGCATCATTCTCGACCCTCAGGAAGTGACAATAGTTTTCGCAAAGAGAATTCGTCTTCTTCACCACTTGCCAGACAAGTAACACCTGCAAGGAAACCACAGAATCCGGTTACTCCTGAAGCGAGATCTTTGGGTACTGCTGGCACAGGGTCTTCCGGAACAACTTCTTTCAGCTCAACAAACAACGAGGCTGGTTATTTGCTGCAGGGACAAGGTCCGAGCCGGGCAGAACATTCTGCTGCAGAAAGCTTTGGAGCTGTTGGCGATTTTTCAGCCGGACCACACGTGCGTGGTATCTCAGGGAGCACAGCCAGTCCGGACTGCGGGACACCTTCCTCGTCGCCTCTTGCTGATTTTGACTTTGGTTTCGAGAGGGAAGAAGACGAGAGAGTTTCTGGACAAGGTCGCTCCGGCCGCGTTCCACCACCCAATACACCTGCACCAGCACACCCAAATTTTGCTAATTTCAAATTCTCCTTTGCCAGCCTTGAGAGTGCGCCGCAAGAGGCTCCAGAAGAAACCCGATCTTCAGAACCTGCACCAGCACACCCAAATTTCGCTAATTTCAAGTTCTCCTTTGCAAGCCTTGAGAGTGGGCCGCAAGAGGCTTCAGAAGAAACCGGATCTACAAAGCCTTCTCTACCAGAACTACCCCCCGCAGGAATCGGGCGCGGTCCGCGAGGCCTTGCTTCTGCCATTGCTGAGAAGTGTCGCAAGTTTGAAGTAGAATCTCCACCGGCACGAGCCAAACAGACCAGCACACAGTCTCAAGTGAGAGCAGTCAGTGACGACGCTGGTCCACGGCTTAGGCTCTCTCCTTCTTCACGAATTTCTTCAGGTCTTCCCAAAACTGGTACTGAAGAATCAGCTTTGTCAGAGATCGCAAAGGGCCAGAGACCCGAGCAGCGAAGTCCAATGCCAAATCGTTCTGACTCGTCCGAAGACATGGATTTCCTCCATCCCGAGTCTGCTGCGGCAATGACCGAACATCGCCGTGAGGCTGTCCGCATGGCAAAAAGCCAAGAAGCAGCAGTTGTCGAGAAATGTAAGCGATCTGGTGCGGCTGCTCCACCATACACCTTCGATGAACTCATCGGCAAGGGTTCATTTGGTCGAGTGTACAAGGGGTGAGTTCGTCATTCGTTGCAACTTATTTCCACTGACAACAAATCAGACGTCAGACCAGCAGCAACAAAGTCGTTGCCATCAAAGTCATCGATGTAGATGACACAGATTTCCGTGCATTCGGAGACGCAAAGGATGAGCAGATCAACGATTTCAACAAGGAAATTCGCATTCTGCGACAGGCACAAGAATCAGGAGCTCCAAATTTGAACCAGATGATCGAAGCTCTTCCGGTCCATTCCCAGCTGTGGCTCGTTTGCGAACATTGTCCAGGTGGAAGCGTGAAGACCCTGGTAAGATTCTTTTTTCCTTGTCTTGATTCCTGCCCGAATCAGTCGCGTTGGGCTTATTACAAGTCCTCTTCGAGTCCATGGATTTGGTATATATGTAAGAGGTCGTCAGTAAGGAGGAGGATGATAGTGTAGATGCTTCTGCAATTTATGTCAGAGGAGATGTTAGGTTGGGTGGATGCTCTTTGTACCGGCTGTTTGAAAGAAGATGAAAATCTGTGTGACTCAGGCTGACTGATGATGCTGACTGATGATGTTAGATGCGAGCAACGAATGACAAGCTTGGAGAGAAATATATCACCGTTGTTGCTAGGGAACTTAGTAAGGCTTTGAAGGGACTTCACGATGCCGGAATAATGCATCGAGACATCAAAGGTAAGCCTGTACCGCATGGCAGTCACTGCCTGTGCCCTGCAGTCGTGTGTGCCTGATCATAGTTGCTGCGAAGATCTGCTGTGGTTTGTGATACTAGAGCTGACGATTGCATCACGATTCAGCTGCCAATGTGCTTATCCACGAAGAAGGGAGCTTGCAACTTTGTGATTTTGGTGTTGCTACAGTGCTTGACAAGAAGACCGACAAGCGAAGAACGTTTATAGGGACACTTCACTGGATGCCACCTGAGCTGTGGGATAAAGATCCGGAATATTCTGATGAGGTAAGTGAATTCCCCGAACTGGCTCGACCTGCTGCATCACAAACGGAGCTAAGGGCATCTAGGTCGACGTGTGGGCATTTGGCTGCACGCTATATGAATGTGCTGTAGGAAAGCCACCGAATGCTGATTTGCGAGAACCACAACAACTTCGAACTCGCATGAGACGCTTGAATCAGTCCATCCAACTCCCCGAAGCCGGCAACTTTTCAGCTGGTCTTCGCAATCTGGTCTCGCACACCCTGACTCCGGATGCAGCAACCCGACCTTCATTCAGTGATGTTTTAGCACATGAATATCTTGCCAACACCGAGGAGACTCACCCGACTCGCATCCTGAGCGAACTTGTCAAGGTCTACTACAGCTGGCTTTACGGCGGAGGTCAACGAGCATCTCTTTTTATGCCTGGTGGTGCAGCTGCAGCCAGTGCACCCGAATCTTTAACCACATCCGACGAGGAGTGGAACTTTAGTGCCACCGATAATTTCAAGAAACGCATGTCTAGTGTTCTCAACATCCCCGACTTCTCTGATCTCTCAGAAATGCAAAGCATGGAGGGCGACTCGACACCGAAAGCCCCGAGAGCTGCTGCTACAGGCGAACTGAGCTCAGAAGAGCAAGCGAATTTTGAAGAGAGAGTCCGACGAGGAGCCGATCTCTCGAACATCTTTGACCCCAACAAACCCAACTACGAGTACGTCACTAAGAAGGATTTCGTTCCTATCCAACAGCGACGAGTCTCGGATCTACCTCTTCGCGCCATGAGTGAAGAAAGACCATATTCTATTGCTAATCAAGTCATCGATCTTGGTGAGTACGACTCATCCAACTACGCCTCTGTGTCACAAACCAAAGACGAGAAGATCAAGCTTGCCGACGCAGCCACCATCAAAGCCAACCGTGGCAATTCTAAGCTGTACCTCGATGTACCTACCTCTGAAACGTCGACGACCAAACCAACAATGTCTGCCAACAAAGGACTCTCGGCCGCCAGTGAGGCACCACGTCCAGCCACACAAGACTTCTCCTTCCCACCGAAAGAGTGGAACACCCAGGAAGAAGAAGATGAAGTAGATGAAGAAGCTGACGACGCCCCCGGCCCTTCCAAGCCTAGAGACCCCGCAAAACACAAGACGATGGAATGGAACTT